TTTGAGCCCCAAAAAATTCAAACGACAAAATAGGAGAAGCATAACCAACAAAGTAAAAAAATGCAGACTAAACAGACCTATCAAGCGCTTCCATCCCTTGATGCCGTTTTCATCAATTTCAGTGTCCCCACACCAATATACTTCAAACAGAATCTCTCTCTCTCTCTCTCTCTCTCTCTCTCTCTCAGTGCTCTCTTTCAGTGCCCCCCACGTCAATGCACTTCAAACAAAATCTCTCTCTCAAGATTCATGCATCTCAGCTTTAGTCAGCAAGCAAGCAAGTGCAGCTCAACCAGTCCATTTCTTGTCAAAATTGGATTTTAAGTAACAAATTGCACCTCTCTCTCTCTATCTCTCTACTCTTAAAAAAAGAAATATAATGAGCACCAACTTGCAGATGCAAAATATGAATATAAAATTGGTTGCAGAAAGATCATGGGGCATGGCGTTAACAAGCACTAGTGGACCGGATCAAAGTCGCAAGCAGCACTCATGTACAACAAGAATACCAGGCCAACCACACACCCCACACTCACCAATCAAATAGAAAGCATGGCCCATTCCAACTGAAAGAGGCCATGCCCCGATCTTACGAGAGACCAACTTATGACACTATTTTTGGCTATATATAATTCAAGGTCGGATGCTATATTTTTTACATATAATTTTATGTGTGTAGAGACACATATACTTAATCAAAAGAGGGTGTCAGCATGTATGTGTGTGGAGTTAAGGTTTCTTGATAAAAATAGGGTGTTACGTTGTGATTGGTGGTAATGATTGGTGTTTATGGACTTGCCCCCTCTTGGTTCGGGTCAAGTTACTCGACTAAGTTCAAGTGGACTTGCCTGAGCTGGCCAAAATTTCTAGATAATTTTTTTTAAAAATTAAAAGAAGGAAATTTTTAAAAATAAATAGTAATAAAAGTAAAAACCAAATGTGATTATAAAATTTAAAAGTCCAAATACGCTTAAAAAAATATAAAAAATAAATTTATTGTTAGCGACTTTGGCAGAAAAACACTCACTTTCTTTGTAAAAAAAAAGTCTAAATCATGTACAAAATTTTTATAGAATCCCACATTTTTTTAAAAATTTGTTTTTGAAAATTTTTATGCACCCCAAGTTGTACACACAACACGGGCTCACTCAGCTTCGCCCATAGGCCGAGTTTCTCGCGCAAGTCCAAGTGGACTTGGGTCCCATAATACTGTTGATTATTGGCATAATAGAATATTCAAATTTTTTGGTTCATATATTCACCCTTCAGTTTGTTGGTAAAAGAAATTCAAAACAGATCTTGCTTGATGACTAGGTAATTGCCAAAACCTAATATATTTGGTGGGTTAGAAAAATAACAGCTATACGCCGAAATAACACAAATAAAATTACATATAAGGAAGAACTTAAGTACATTGTGATTCTTTAATTAACTAGTGAGAGTTAACTTGGGTGAATTTTTATTTGATGGTTGGGAAAAATAACTATAAAAAAGCACCTGTCGACCCAATAGAAAAGAGAAGGCATAGAGATCTTAAATGAGCAATCCTAGTAATAAGGGTGAGGTTTTCATAAGATTGCAATGAAAGTAGGTGCACCTCCAAACTCTATAATTTTGGTGTCAAAACTTTTAGAATAGGCCGACAATTTATTTTCATCTCTAATTATAAAATTGTAAACTTCAAAAATATTTCAAATTAAACAGACTTATAAAGGCATGAAAATCTTAAAAATAGACGGTCTTGATAATATGTTGCAACATGTACTATTTTTAAAACTTGAAATCTTTTTTTTTCTCCATATCCATACATCTCGATGTCGAGATGATCAATTAAATGGTTTTCCAATGTCAAAATATACTTTTCCGATAAATTAATTTTACAATTGACTACGTCAACCTTATATAATTTTTTCCTAATAATAAAGAGGGCAACATGCTTAAGTTGTGGTTTCATGATGCAATTGCAACTTTTATTTATTTATTTTTTTGGGTAATTTAGTGGGGAATACAGGCGCCTACCTATTTTTTCAGATAGATTAAGGAGTTAGTTATGAAAAAGCTTTCCATGTTCCCCTTACAACATAGAAGTTCTATCCTCCCTCTACCATCCAACCGTCTTTTTTTTATCAAGAGAGTCACTCACCGTTTGATTTTAGATCCGACGTATCAAAGTATTTTATTTTTAGTTTTTTTAATATAATTTTTCTGAATGTGAAATTTGGTATGTGCAATCTTCTCATTGGGGTGCACCTATAAAAAATAGTAACAATAATTTTTCGATAAAAAATAATGACCAAAATATCCCTTAAAGCTTTCAGAAGTATTTTGGTCATTTTATTTTATTGAAAATATTTTTTTATATTTTTCACTAGTGCGAGTTTAATAGAAGAATGAATGTCCAAAATTTGGTTTCAAAAAAGTTTATAGAAACAAAATTAAAAATAAAAAAGTGTAAAAACGTGACATTGTGATTGAGACAATCTTAACCCTCCATCCAAATATGGACGGTTAAATAAAAGGAGGGATAGAACTTGTAGGGAAACATAGAAAGCTTTCCTATTATATATGCTCCTCACTTCTAACCATATTTCAGGATTGACAATCTGAGCCGGTTTCTCTGGCAATATATAATCCTTTTTTTTCGAGAAACCTCTGTCAATATATAATAGCTTCGTCGTCTCATCTCCCTCCTTTTCTCAATGCTAGATTTCCGAAAGGTGGGTGCCGTCAAAGTATATACAATTAGATCTGAAATGAAATTACAAAGGCCCCCCATCACGGGCAGATGGGTTGTCAATTTCTTTACTTTTAACCGCTTGCATCAAGAGAAGAATCTTTTTTCATATGCAAAAACCAGACCTTTAATTTTTTAGGGTGTGGTTTGTACAAGGTTGTGACCTTAAATAATCCAAATAAGGTGCACCTCCAAATTTTATCGTGTAATTTTGATGTAAAATATTCTTAAGATGGTCTTATAATCCATTTTTATATCTAATTATAATTTTCTGAACTCCACAAATAATTCAAATAAAATAGATCTATAAACATATAGAAATCTTGTAAATACACTGTCTAAATAACATGTTACAAGATGTACTATTTTTGAGACTCAAAATCTCTATTTTTTCACATATTCATACAACATAATGTAAAAATATCAATTGGAGTGTTTCCAACATCAAAACAACCATTTCCAATAGATTTTTGAGATACACCTTAATTCTACATTTTAATGTTGCAACCTTTTATAAACATTTTCCCTGTTTTTAACAGAATGCAATAGTATTGATCTCTCCCTCAGACACAGACAATGGAGCCCTTCATTTTCCTATGATGTGATTGCTAATAATAGCATAAGTTAAAACCTTGGGAATGGCAAACTGCTGCTTATTTTTCACCGCTGCTTTTGGTCTCATCCTAAAAAAAATAGTAAGATCTCAAATGGGCATTGCTACTGCTTTTGGCCTCTTCTTAAAAGAAACACTAAGCTTTTCATATTTTCTTCTTTCACACATCTCAAATGCAAATGTCCAGTGAGTAGAATGAGACACCCCACTATCAAGGAATCAGGGAAAGGGTGGCTCCAATTAGTCTTAGCACCCATTTGCACAGAGTATGAATATACCTAAATGTATTATAACTCATAACAAACCCAGTTGAGAGTGAATCTCGATCCGTGCTCAATTCCACAGACGCATTTGCGTTGGGTTCGAAGCCTACCTAAACTTTACAATCATGCCACCTAGATATATAATATTTCTCAAAAACCCAATGATTAAAGCATCAGTGACTCGGGCTCAGACTAGCCCAAGTCACTTGGACATGGCAGAGTGTCAGGTCCAGACAAGAGACACTGAGACTTGGGTGATTCTCACTTATCACAGCCCCTGTGTTTTCTCCAGAGACTCAGCTGAGTCAGACCACCCACTCAGCTGAGTCGTGGCTGAGTCAGGCATGAAATCCCACCAAATCTGGTCCCTAGTCCAGGCTTTTAATCACTGATTAAACCCATCAGGAAGTATCCCATAACGAGTAAAGTCTATCACCATTTGGCAATGGTGAGATGGTATTCACCTAAAAAACAAAAAAAACAGAAGATAGAGAAAAAGAAAGACCCTATCCTCCAATTATTCACAACCATGTCTGCTAAAAGAAACAAACCCCTTATCCCCTCCCTTATCCATCACAAAGCAACATTCAATTACTTCTGTTTCTAAATTCTGTCGCTAAGTAGCAGCCAATGGAAAACGATCGTCACCAAGCAGCAAGCCATTTCGAACCATCGACCATTGCCCATATTATCCCTTTTTGTCTCATACTAGCAACTCAATAATGCAGATGCATCAGATTGGGTACTGAACTTTCTCTACCATGCTTTCTCATCCTTAATAAAGCTATCCTCCACCAAAATACCATATTGACTTCTTCCTATGGGTATTTTCTTTATCTGTATCATGAAAACCAGGTGAGGTAATCAATATCTCGTTAAATACATGTAGTCCTTTCTGCAAATCATGCCAAAAAAGGATGAAGAAATTTGTACCACTAGTTGCAAAAGCATAAAACTCAATAATGTAAGAAAATCTCTCTTAAAGCTGTCTTCCATGACAATGAAGCTTTGCATTCTCTCTAGAGGAAAGTTTCATCATTTCTCATCTATCATAAAAAAAGTCCCCTTTCTTCATTGCAAAATCCTGTCTAATCCAATCAAAAGAATCCGAAGGGAAATTATAGTTCTCAAGGATGACCACCCCAAGAACAGTTGGATTATCTGCAATAACTGCATCCAAGTGAGAGAAACAGCATCCACTTAATCCATCACAAAAGAACACTTAGATTAAAAATAACTCATGCATGAACTAGCAGGCATAGAGATAAGGCTTCAACCTAAATCCTCAATTTGGTTCACAACCACAACTCTTCCAATTGAAATCGTTATTCCAATTTGCCAAAAAAATCCTGCGTTTTACCATGGAATATTCTAAGCCCTGACAAAACATTTATGCTGAACAAAATATTTATGCTGTAACCCATATGCATCTAAATTCAATATGTTAACATATAGATACAACATAATGCACAAATTCCAAGATGTCCAGAGGTTCATAACTTCATAATCTGAACTGACCTCCTCCAAAAAGTCTATGAAAAAAATATTAATGTAATGTGCTTCCATGAATATATGCAAACAACTTAATATATACATCTCTCATAGTCATTTGTCACCATCAGAATTTGGATCTCTTATTAGGCTTATTGTTATTCCTCCCATCCCAAGCACTAGCCCAGAAGAAGAGTGACATCCAAAGGAAAGTAGCCAAAAATATCTGCACCCCATCCTGGATTCTCTGGAGTTTCGCTTCAAGACCTGTTTCAGCATTGAAAGGAAATTAAAATAGAAATAAGTAATAAACACAATAAAAGTTAAACCAAACAATACTGAAATAATATTCAATTAAAGAAACAATATTCTGTATTATTATTCTTATATTTATACTTTGATATTTGATTATTTGATGTGAATTTTGATAAAATATAAATATTAAATAAAATACAAACATTAAAATATAATTAAAAAAAACAAACAAACCAGCTAAGGTTCGAACAGGTTTTACATGAAGAAATTTTTGTTCGGCATGTTCTATTCGATACTTATCGGTGTTTTAAAATGCGGGATGCGGCCAAAGGCGGTGAGGGGGCCGATGCGGTGATGCGGCTCGATGCGGTCCGGATGCGGGTGCATTGCGACGATGCGATCAAAAAATATAAAAAATTCTAAAAAATCTAAAAAAATAGGTTAATGCATAGAAAAAAATATAGAGGTGATATATGTGACAGTAGGCATTGTAGTTTAATGATTAACTCCAAAAATATTAGCTCTCGGAGATTCTATATCCACTATCCCCTGATAAAAACTAGAAACTTGAAACTAGCTTTATAAAACATTCAACAATCAACAACCATAAGCACAAATTCACCTAAACTTTGAAGCAGTGCTCGATTTCTTCACGGCCTTTGAAACCCCCAATTTCTTGTCACAAATTCACCTAAACTTCCCCAAATCAACAACCAAAAGGTTCAAATCAAGATCCAATTATCAAACAATCCCCAAATCCAAGATCTCGATGAAAAACAATTTTCGCCTTTTTTTTTTTGCTCGATTTGATCCCAAAAAAGCCATGAAAGTGGCTGCAAATGCTTGTTTAGGGGGTTTAATACCCCCCAACTATTTCCCCCAATTTTTTATGGTCAAAAAGACCATTTTGCCCATCCCCGAGCGGCACAATTGAAAATAACATCACGGAACAGTATGCGGCCAGATGCGCTATGCGGCTCTGATGCAGCGCATATGCACCCGCATACCTCCAAACCGCATATGCGGTCTTTTCCGATGCGGTGCCCACCGCATATTGCCTAATGCGGTCGCATATGCGGCAATGCGGCCGCATTTTAAAACGCTGATACTGATAGGAGAAGAACCCGAATCGGTATTGTCAAAAACAAGAAGAGCGGAAGCAGGAACCATTCAAGATGATACGGATCAAACTGTTCTTCTTGTGCCAAAGATCTTACCATTTCCAGAGAACTGGAGCTACATCTCCTTTCCATTTCCATTCAAGAGTTCTTAGTGTTTTCACACCCTTTTGAGACCTCGAAAAATGGACTCATTCCTTTTTTTAGGAACACATACAAATTTTGTCTCTGTACGACATGTATTTCTATTACATTAAGTAGTTAACAAAACTGAAGGAGGATCCGCAGGTCAAAAGAAGTAAATATTGGAATGAGTTTTTCTTCCCATGTATTTGTTAGCGGTATAACTCACCGCTAATCCCACTTAGCTTTTAGTAGTAAAAAAAAAAGGTATCGCTCTAGTAGGGTAAGCATTCTTTTGCTTAGCGGTTGCGATAAAAGAATAAAAAAAATAGTGAATTAATCTTCTATTGTAAAAAAATATTCTATTTACTTGAATGTAATACAAAAATATTGAATATCAGATCCCAACACATAAGATTGATACGTTCATCGAAGAAGAGGTTGAAACCAGCATCCCAGAGGAGGACGTCATGATGGTGCACTACAGGTATGGATCAGATCCCACATGTCTGATCCAACCTGTCTCACAGAGTAGAATGAATTGGGAGTCCATCCCTTTAACCATGGAGGCTGCTAGGGGCATATCCGTGTCCTCGTCCTCCTTTGATCAGGTCCGTTGAGGGAGAGAACAGGTACCCGAGTGAATAAGGTATTGAATGGTTATATTCTATAAACAGTATGTATATCATGGATAAGAAAGAAATTCACAAACTGACACAAAGGATTCAATCTTTTTTTCTATGTAAGAAGTTACGATCAGCCAGGCAGCCAGCTAAGCTAAGTCTATGTAAGGAGCACATATGAGCGGGCGGGGGGAAGACGTAGGGCTCACACTAGACTAGTACGTGAAGGACCCCCTAGCCCTAGGGCCTTTCTTCAGTTGTGGCCCACATGGTCCGGGGATAAAAGAAAGGGACGGGGGAGAAAAGAGGGAGGCCTTAGAATTCTACACTGGCATGGCGCTGCTGGATGCTTCTAAGAGGAATAGATTTCCTTAGTCTTAGTCTTGTTAGTCTTCTTTTCTTGCCCGGGCTGTTAAGTGCTTGCTGGTTACACTACCCGGAGCGAAGCGCAGCGGAGGGCTTGACTTGAAGTATTCACTTGAAATGGCATCTTAAGTTTGATTGAGGTACTAGTTCCTTTTGGTTACTCGACCAGCTTCAACCTTAGTGACTGCTCCTCTTCGGCTTCAGTTGAGTTCCACCCGACCCGAAGAGCTACTCTCCCGTGGACGAGTGAGTGAGCTACTTCTCCCGACCTTGCTCTTGCTGACCAAGCTACCCTTGCCTTCCGGGTGAGCTCCATGGGGAAAGTTTATGCCATGTATGATATATAAAAGAAAGGATATAACACATAAGAAGTTTAGTATTAGGAATGTCATCTTTATCATATGACGTGAGGATGTAATATATATGATATCCCCATAAGAGAATTGGTGTTATTACGAAATCATGGCAAATTTGGCCATGGATATTGTAATATGTGACCTATGAAAAGAATATAGGATATAATACATGAATATGTGACATAGCTAAAATAGAAATAAATAAAATATTAAAAGGTGCCATTTCAATAAGGATACTCACTTATGTTGTTATTATCTTGGGAAGAGCATATGTAAATTTGCCATCCACCCCCATGATACCAAATCCTAGAAATTGATATAGCTTGCATGTAACCATTTGGGTTACATTGTTTCACCATGACATTTACTAGTGATGTACGGTCACTATAGGATCCCTTTCCTTGGAGATTGGTTGGCAAATTCTCCACCTCCATAGGTGAGTGATTCACAATTATTTTGAAGGCAATCACGTCACTACAATAATTCTTCTTTCTAACTTGTGTGCATGGCATATTGGCATAAAGAGAAAGTCACCTCATTAAAACTCTTAGGGGTTCAGCATCATTTTCTGAATCTCTTTGGAATCCTTCGCTTTCTACTTTTAGACATGCTGCCTCTTAACCATTAATTATGGCACCTGGAGATTGACAGAAATGGCAGTAGTAATGTAGGTCCTAGAGCAATAAAACTGCTGGAGGCAGACTGCATTAATATGATCATTACATAGGTTCATTGAAGGAGATGTTTTGGATGGATGAGCTTGGAAAATCATTTGAGGCACTGGAGAGGATAATTTGAGGCGATGAATATTTGCTGCAAATGGCCAGGTTGCCATGTCTATACAAAGGATAAACCATGTATAGACTTGGAGGTTTCATTTTGGACCAGTAGGTGAGTTTAAGGACACTTGTTGACTTTGATTAGCATCACAGACTCCATGAAAGACAAAGCTAAAGCTCTCCTCTCTAGCATCAGGATCTTTGTTGGACAGAATTCACATAATGTGATTAGTTGGGCAAGCATGGTTCGCCCTTTTCCCATGAGTATACATCGAAGATTCAGACAGCTAGATCCAAGGATATCTCATGTCCACTATGTCCATAAGCCAAGGGATTTGTTGCTTGCCTCAAAATGATATATTGAGTGTGTTTGAGCGTCTGGAATCCTTTTTCCTTCATGTGTTTGAATGTGAACTTTCCGATCTGTGTGCGTATGCATGTTGGGCGTTGTGAGCGTGTGTGCGTACGCATGTACATGCACGAGAAAAGATTACATACTTCCCAAGTTCCAGATGCCCACACTTCGCCACTCTTTCAAAAACCATCTCAAGGGGATTTACTTGACCCCAAATTTAATAGATAGCCTCAAAATCACCTGACGAACAATTTTAAAAAAATTGTTTTCTTAAGCTCTCGAACCCTCGATCATTATCATCATCATCATCATAGCCTTTTCCCAATTAATCTCTCAAACCCTAGATCAGACCATCAAAATTGATGGCACATGTAACTGCATTTTCTCTCTCCACAACAAACATTTTCTAGGGATTTTTCTTCACTTTCAATTTTCACAAGCTTGCTTGTTAAGATCAAGAGAGCCTGTGTGCAAAATTTGAGTTTAACCAAGAACCCCTAAAATGGTGTTTTGATGGGTGGCAAACCATTGCGGTGCATGTATTAGTTTGGGCGACTACAATGTCACACTAGGGTATCTTTCTACAATGTCCAAGTCCTCAATTTTTACCACGTTAGGGACATTTGTTTCATCCCAAAATTTGCACGCACATTCCTTTCATCACGGCCAACAATAAAAGAGAAGTCCTTTTCCTAAACACAATTAATGTAGTATTAGATCGAATAGTAAGATGAGGAAGCCAAACATTGCTTATAAATAATTCAATCATATATCCAGTAGAAAATGCCCATATTAGGGACCACGAGGGAAAATAAAACATATAGCAGTTTAGACCTTAACATAAGCTCCCCATTTCTTCTTAGCAGTCCATCTAACATATACATAGGGAAGCCAATGAATTGGTCAATATTCTCCAGCTCATCATGGGGCATTGCAGATGGACGAGTAAGTGTATCTCCCTCCCATCTAACCAATGTTCCAAAAAAAGGCCCACCTAACGCCTAGGCGGGCCAGGGGGGCCTGGGCGCATTGCCCCAGGCCTAGGTGCACAAAGGCGGCTGCCTAGGTGCTGCACCCTGCCCAAGGTCGAAAATGCCCCGCGTTGAGGGCATCTTGTTTTTTGTTTTTTTAAAGTTATGTAAATGAAGGGGTCTAGGTTCATATCCAACCTAAACCCCATTTGAACCATTTTTAAAGAGAGAAACCTCGAAAAACTTGTATTTTGAACCCCATTTGAACCATTTTTAAAAAAAGAAACCTCGAAAAACTTGTATTTTGTGATTTTGATAGGA